GATTACAAGTCGTTAGAAGAATTGACTATCACATTTGTAGTGCTAGAGAGCTGGTATTTTTTAAAACATTGAAAGTGAATAATTGAGAATAAGAATACATGTTTATATAAGTGCACAGAGGGATGGTAGAGCTAATGAATGGTTGCTAATGAAACAGTTGTCATGAAATCATTGTAATCTATAGAAAATACTCTGGACATTTTCTGATTTATTTTCTTACTCCTTAGAACTGGTAGGAATAAGTGATAATTCATGTTAAATAGGAAAAAAGTGTACTCTGATAATTTTATGTAGTCACAGGTTTGTTTTGTTGTATTCTTGTCTCTACTTCTAACTGGGTCTGATTTTGAAAGCTTACTATTTAGATTAATTTGGCATTCCTTCTTAACTTTCTTGTGTAATTCTATTTAAATTTTCTTATAGATCTTCCTTTCTGTGAAGCCACCTTAATGAGGTAAATACATGAGTGATTAAATAGAACCTGTGGCCAAGAGTTCTCTGCAAGTATGTGATGATTTCATGGAGAAAACAGTGGTTTAAAATTTAGAGGACTTTTGGGTCAGGTTTTGTTTTGTTTTTTTATTTTAAATTCTTTTATTCAGTGCTAGGAATGGAACCCAGGGCCTCACTCATGCTAGGCAAGGGCTTTGCCACTGAGCTCTATTCCCAGTTCCTGGACTGTTTTGAGTTTGCTATTCATCTTTTTAGTGTCATGTGAAAATATATGTATCATACAATTAGGTATTCGCACAATTGCTTCAATTTTTTCTCTGTTAAAATCATCTCTTTTTCCACCCTTTCTCTTTCAGCTTGTTTGTGTCTTTAAAGCGAAGTCAGTCTCTTGCATATGGTTGAGACATACTGTTTTTTGTTTTTTAGTCCATTCTGCCAGTCTTTGCCATTTGATGGGAGAGTTTAATTCACTTACATTTAAAGAAATTAAGGAAAGAGTGTCTGTCATTTTGTTGTTTCCGATATATCTTAGGGCTTTTTTATCCCTCATTTCTTGTATTACTCTCTTATTGTGTTTAGTTGATTTTTCTTGTAGAGAATGCTTAAATTCCTTTCTTTTGTATATGTTCTGTGCTTTTCTCTGGTTGCCATGGTCATTGCACTTAACCTCCTGCAGGTGTTAACACAGATTTTTATTTACACCAGTTTAACTCCAACAACATACAAATGTTCTCCTTCATAGCTTCATCTACACCTCTTTCAAATGTTGATGTCACACAATTATATGCTTATACATTTTGTGCCCCTAAACACGAGCGAGTAATTTTTTAAAATGCATTAGTCTCTTTAATGATGTAGAAAACAAGATGAAGAGGTACAGCAAAACCAAGTTAAAACACTACTAGCTTTCAGGCTGATGTTTTATTTATTTTTACACATACCGTGTGTATGTATGTGATGGCGTCTTGCTGTGTTGCCCCAGCTCACTCTGGACGCCTGACTCAACCTCATATGTAACTGGCACGATAGCTGCTCACCACCATGCTAGCCAAACGGAGTTTTTAAATATATTAATCTCTTAAATCAGGTAGAAGTAAAAATAGTTACAAATTGCTACAGGAGTATTGGTTTTCATAATTGTCCATGTCTTCACCTTCACTGAGGTCTTTTTCTGTGTGGTCTCCAGTCCTCGAGCTGTTAAGGACTCGGACTCCCTTGGGTGTTTCCCACATGGCCTCTAGCGGGAGCAGATGTCTTCTGCCTTTGGTCACCTGGGAATGTCCTAATTTCTCCAGCACTTGTGAAGGACAGTTTCACCATGTATAGAATTCTTGTTAGGCAGGATTTTCTTTTAAATTTTATGGTTTTTTTTTTCCTTGGAGGACTTCGAATATATTAGCCCACTGCCTTCTGACCTCGAGTTTCTTGTGAGAAATTTCCCGCTAATTTTATTGAAGATCCCTAATATGTAATGAGTTGTTTCTGTTATAACTTTGAAGAGTCCCTTTTTTGCTTTCAAGAGTTTGATTATACTCTGTGTAGGTATAGATCTCTGCATTCATCTTACTTGAGGTTCATTTAGCTTGGGTGGTGTTTATATTTTTGTCATTCATTAAATGTGGCAGCTCTTGATCTGATATTTCTTCTGATATTCTTGCTGTCCCTTTCTCTCTTTCTTCTTATGGCACTTGGAGAGTATATATTGGTCCATTTGATAATTAGGCAAAGAACCACGTTTTATAAATATGCAAATATATATTTATACTATAACCCTAATGCATAGAAAACATTATGGTATAATTGTCTCTCTGCACTGTGGGTGTTCGACCCAGTGCCTTGTGCATGCTCACTGAATAAGTCTTCTACCACTCGGCCACATGACCAGCTTGATATGTTGTTTCAGTATGGTCTTAAATTTTAAAATGTAATGAGCTCAAAATTCTAAATGTGCTTTTATGCAAATATTTTATTAACTTATTAAATTATGTTGTGTAAGTTGTTAATCCTCTCAAGTGTGTAATACATTGAATTAATGGTGTCTACTATACATTATGTTAAGATTTAGAAATTTAATTTCTGTTGCAAATGTCTTAATAGGAAAGTCCAGAAATGAATGAATATCTGTTTCTCAGTGCAGAATGTAATGTGACCCTAATAAAACAATCAGGATAACAAGGTTTATTCAACTAGATTTTTTTCAGATACAGTTTTTAATTTAGTATTTTAAGCTGGTTGTTTTGCGTTTTCTAGAACATTGATTTATAGGAATAAAATCAGTAATTTTATTGCATAATTTTAGTGACTAATTCAGGTGTACATTTGGTTAAAATAATTCTAATAATAAAAATTTATAACAGTTATCAAGCTTGTTTGCGTATATAGTATATTTAGGGTTTTGTCTGTAGTTTGGCACTGTCCCTCCAGAATGTTTACATTGTGAGTATGTAGTTATTTGCTCTCTCAGAGTGTCTTGGAATATGAATTACTGGCTTTCCCAAGTAATTTAGTGCATTTTTCTTTAAATTCTTTACTGAAGTTGCTTTTAGGTTGTTACTTTGAGATAAATTGCTTCTAGACTGGATTAATACCAAACTAAGGAAAATGCCTATTTAGAAAGGAAGAGTTACATATCACTGTGTGAGGCATATCAGAATTTAAGTGAGGTTGTTACCAAGCTCCGTGTGTTCCTTTTAGGTACCCTCTTCTTTTTTAGGAACCCTTTTCACCCTCTTCCCCCACTAATGTTATTGGAGTGAGAAAGCTGTGGTAGTTTTGACCTGCCATTGTTGGTTAGTTGGATAATAACTTTACTGGCTCCAGAAGCTCATGTGTAAAATGTGGCCATTGACCTGATTTGTTACTCATTCTATATTTTTTTTTCTGGAATAATTTTTTTACGTACAGTGTCAACATTAGTTGAGAGAATCTCCCTCCTATCATTTGCTCCACAAACCTTGGTATTACCTTTGTAATGGTGTTTCTCTCACCTGGGTTCCTTGGAAATTGAGTTTCTCTCCTTTCTTGCCTCAAAAGTTTTGCAAGTATTGAAGTCACAGAATCCAAGTCTACCTGTAGTAGTAGCGGGGTCGTCATCCTTCTCCTTTGGGTTGTGAGTTTACGTCTTTCATCTCGTTAGGCTCCTGGGTGTATCTGACAGCCGTTATTTGTTCAGAGGTAGGGTAAACTGCAGGACTTCCTCTAGTGATAAATAACCACCTGTTGTGTCAGTTCATTAGCTGATTTAGATAGTGAGTGTTGGCTATTGTGTTTTAATGTTGTTGGGTACTATGGTGCCTAGTGGATAAACATAGTTTTATAAATAATGTTCAGCATTTGGTGGGTCAGTTAGTATCGTCTTTGCTAGTCTACTTCTTGTTTTTGAAAATTTTAAGTTATCCTGCTAAAGGAATGAATTTTCCTTTGTTCACTTGTCATAAGATGTAATATAAAACCTTTGAGTAGATTTATAGTCAACAGAACTCTACTAGATTTGATTGGAAAAATAGTGTTTTAGATTAAAACTTTTTAAAAAAGTATCTTCCAGTGAAATTTATATAGATTATAAAGCAGATTTTTTAAAGCTAGTTATATTTTTATTTTAGTTTAGGCTACTAGTAGACATTATAGGGCTAGGGATATAGCTCAGTGGCATAAGCACTTGCCTGGCAAGCCTGAGGCTGTGAGTTCGATTCCCGGTACCGGAAAAAAAAAAAAGACATTATAGTGAAAATACCCACCCTTCAACACATTGGCATTTATTTCTGGAATCTTAAGTGCTTATGAATGGCCTAGGTAAAGAAATCTATGTAGAATTCCCATTCCCCATAACATCTATGTGTCTCAGGTCATATTGTAAAATGATTTCTCTTGTATTCTCAGTGAGTTTTATACTGGGTTTTTTAAAAAGTGGTAAATTATGCAATAAGTGAAATTGGAGAAAAGGGAGTTCAGAGATAGGTGTGGAGGAGAAAAGAAATCAAGGAAGGAGGGCTGAATTGTCTTTGTAGCGATAAAGTTACCCATGAAAAGGCTGTTTTGTTACTTTTGCATGTGAATACACTTTTCAGTTTCTTAAACTTTGTATTAGGAAGATTCTGTAAAAATTATGTTCATTAGATACTTGGCTTCATTTACTGCTCACAGGAGAGTTTTGTGTTCTTCAAATGGTTTTATTGCTTGTAGCTCTGACTGTAGACAGGAAATTTTATGTAAATATTAAGTTTAAGTATATTAAATACTAAGAGTGGATGACACCCTTTTTTTCATTTGAATTACTTTCTAATGTTGTGGTCCACTGAAGATACTACTTATAACTTGTTCTGAGTTTTGTAATTCTTTTTTTAAGTGTTCAAGTTGGATATATTTCATGTTTTTGTTTTTAAGTACAATTGTACCATAACACTTTTTTTTTATTTTTAAAAACTTTCTAAGCATAGCCTGGATAAGATAATCATTTCTGTGACGCATTTATCTCGCGATTATTCTTCTTTGGAAGTTGTGTTTTATACTGTCACCCTAATGCTCATTGTTCACTTGTTCTCCTGCAGCGTGGATCTGTGGTATCATCTCTATCACTGTCATTAGCCTCCTGTCCTTGCTGGGTGTGATTTTGGTTCCCATCATTAACCAAGGCTGCTTCAAATTCCTCCTCACGTTCCTTGTTGCGCTGGCTGTGGGAACCATGAGTGGAGATGCCCTCCTTCACCTGCTGCCCCATGTAAGAGATCTTTTCAGTGTTTAAAGAGTTTAAGGCCAGTGAGCATTTGGTGGGTCAGTCAGTATCATCTCCTTGCTAATCTACTTCTCTTTTTTTTTTTTGAAAATTTTAAGTTATCCTGATGGAGATGAATTTTCCTTCCATAATAAGCTGCAGCATAATTATATAGTAGTATTTGTGCCGTTTTGTTTGCAAATAGGATGAAGTTTGGCTTTCTTCCATTTCATAGATGTAATAGCAATATTTTTAATGAGTTGAATCATTAGGTTTTTAAATGCAACAGTGAGTGATCTTTTTATCCATGACATATCAAGAAAGCCTTGAGAAGAAAACGTGTAAGTTGCTGTAGTGATTATGCGTATAACCAGGAGGTCACAGCAGTGACCTGCTAGGGAATGAGTTGGTGGACTTCGTTATTTTTACTATGTGGTATTTAAGTGGTTATGGGTGCTCCAATTTTCAAAGGACCCATCACTCCCTGCTCTTCTGACTTGCATCTTTCATCATGGCATCTTCGTTAGAGGCATTTTAATTTGTGGTCTTTGTTTGACCAAGAAATGTAGTGTACTTTGCGGATAACTGAGTAAATTACCTGGAGGACCTTCTTTAAATCACATAGTACCTAGAGGCTCAGTCTGAAAATTAAATATTACTCAGATATGATCCCACTACTGTGTGGTACAAGGTGAGAGTTGAATAGTGTTTACCCAGAGGCTGAGGAGGTAGTGGAGAGACACGGCCAGGAGCGGTAGGTGGGTCAGTGGTCAGTTTGTCCCGGGTTGGGGGTAGGGGAGAGAAATTCTGAGTGGCAGAGTGGCAGTAGATAAGGGCAATTACTGTCGCGTTTGTAAGAAGCTAGAAGAAAGGATTTCAGATGTTTCCAAGAAACAGTAAGTGTGTGAGGGAGAGGTGTGCCTGCCCGGATTTGAACATTGTGTAATGTGCACATACATTGAAATATTACACGCTATCTCATGTACGTGTACAACTTTATGTGTCGATGTAAAGAATAGAGAGATACAATGTAACAACAAGATAAAAACTAAGTCATTTTTCTGTGTTGTCTAGAGGATTATACTCTCAGAATTTGAACTAGCATTTCAATTGCTTGTTTAGAAGTATTCTTCTGTTGTAATAGTCACAGGGCGGACATGATCATGGCCACCAGCACGCACATGGCCATGGGCACGGGCATTCTCACGCACACGAGGCCGAGAGCTTCGTAGAGGAGTACGACGCCGTGCTGAAGGGGCTCGTCGCTCTGGGAGGCGTCTACGTGCTGTTCATCATCGAGCACTGCATCCGGATGTTCAAGCACTACAAGCAGCGGAGGGTGCGTACTTCCACATCACGTGCTTATTTTCTGGGGAACAGTAGTAGGGCCTGTGAGTGATGGAGGACACACTGTGATCACTGTCTGATTATAAAATGATAAGGAGAAAGCTTATCTGTATTTTGCGAAGCTATTCAGAGTCAGTTACTGTAGTAGGTTTTCATATATTCTCTGATTTTATCATTCCAGCAATCTTATTTCATAGTATAATTGAGTATTATGTTCACTAAATTTAACAAACTTCCCAAGTCTCAGAAGTAAAATACATATTTAGGATTCTAACTCTTGATTCTCTTATGTTACAGGCATGGAGATTGAGATGACAGTAAAAAGAGAATAAAATTCAGAGGACTAAGCATTAAGTGTTGAAACTTGGTTCCCTTCCATTATTAAATAGAGAGGCATCGCACCCATCTCACAGTTTCATTCGGGTTGCATTTAATAGTTTGGTACTGTGCACACTGTTAACTTGGAGGGAGATGAAGAGAATTTCTTAGTTCAGCATTTTAAAAAGTATACAAATTTAGATCCCTTGTTTGATTTCGAAAAATAATTTCTTACTGTTCTATAAAACGGTTTTATGTATAAAGTTCATTTGTCACCCAGAAGTGTGAACAAGGGGGTATTATTACTTGTTGTGGCTGCAGATTTTATACTGATACCTGATTTTTTTTTTGCAGGGGAAACAGAAGTGGTTCATAAAGCAGAGCGCAGAAGAGGCAACTATTGGAAGAAAGCTTTCAGATCATAAGTTAAACAACACACCCGACGCTGACTGGCTCCAGCTCAAGCCTCTTGCCGGTACTTAGTTCTGCCTAAAGACGAACTTTTAAGACAGAAATTGACATGTTGCTTCTCAACTGGGTTGTTTGAGATTTCTTGCCTTTGTAACTCTGCTAATACTAGTTTCTAACATGTTTTTCCTTAAATGTGTGTCTTAATTATGATTTTATTGATTTTAGTTAATTTCTGCCTTCTTTGTGCTGGAGTGTGGGGCCAAATAGATCATGGGGTAAGAAAGTTTTTTTTTCTTTTTTCCAGTACCAGGAATCGAATTTACGACCTCGCACTTGCCAGGCAGGCGCTGTGCCGCTGAGCTAAATCCCCAGCCCCAAGAAAGTTTTTGTAGTTCTAGTTTGTAGAAAAAAAAGGAGTAAAACAGAAATGCCTTTCTGAGTATAGACCAGTGTCTTACTGATGGACAGTGCCCAAACACTCCAACCCTCCAGATGTGTGGGCTTCCTGAGGAAACTTGCCTTTGTGCCTAGAAGAGAGGCCCCTCGCCTTGCATTTGAGCTGTCTGCGTAAGCACCCAAGCATTCTGGTGCCTGATAGACCTAATGAGGAACCTTACAGTTTTCAGGGAAACAGAAGTGTTTTTAATATAATTTTTTTCGCTTTCCATTTGGACTTGTTCCTTGAATTTAGCAGTGATTTCCTATGCAAAAGGGCAGCCTAGTGTCTGTCTATAGAACTTTCCCCCGGAACTGAGCTGGGAAGTATCAGGAGATCATAAGTAATTGGGGAGCGAGGCAAAGGCTGCCCTCAGTGTTTTATTTTATTTTTTTTTTATTTATTTTTTATTTTTTGGTTTTTTTTCTCCGGTACCGGGAACCGAACTCACGACCTTGCGCTTGCCAGGCAGGCGCTTTTGCCGCTGAGCTAAATCCCCAGTCCCTGCCCTCAGTGTTTTAAACAGCACTTATCCGATGTCATCCCTTGCGTGGACTCGGGGCTCCATCTGACCCATTGGGCACTGACCTCTGAGCAGTGCTGTCAGGTAGGTGCAAGGGAAGACTGTAGAGAGCTTGCCATCACTGTTGGTAGGGCGTAGGTAAGTTACTTAAATTCTTTGTCTTCATTTTCTTAAATAAGAGAGTGGGTTAACACTAAAAGTCCCCCTTTCTGTGAAGAATTACTTTATCTATTTTATTTATCTCTTTAGTTGATGAATTTCAGAAAACCTTGTTCTATTGGAAAAGCTTCTAAATGACTTTAGGGAAATGCGTTTATTTAAGACTTTCATAAGACGTTCACCTAGGGAGTGTGCGTTTACGCTGGTGTCTGCGGCGTTGCAGTAGCAGCGTGCGTACCCTTCCTCGCTGAGAAAGCCTGTCCCTGTCTCCAACCCAGGGACTGACGACTCGGTGGTTTCTGAAGACCGCCTCAATGAGACTGAGCTGACAGACCTGGAAGGCCAGCCCGAGTCCCCTCCCAAGAGCTACCTGTGCGTGGAGGAGGAGAAGAGCGCGGACCGGGCCCGCAGCGACGGGCTGCACGCCCCCCACGCCGCCGTGCACAACCACCACGGGGGCAGCAAGGCCGTGCCACGCAAGCACGGGCACCAGTGGCACCATAAGCACGCCCATCACTCGCACGGGCCCTGCCACTCCGGCTCGGACCTCAGGGACACGGGCATCGCCAGCATCGCCTGGATGGTCATCATGGGGGATGGCATCCACAACTTCAGCGACGGGCTCGCCATCGGTGCGTGGCGGGCTTTCTTCCTCCACCTCGCCGTGCTGCTCTCGGGACTGTGGTTCTGTCCGGAGCTTGCACGTGTACTGTTGCCGGGCTCCTGTCACTAGTTTCTCCAGGGCCTGGTTTTGTGTTTCATAGGGATATTTGGAAGTGAAAATATATTTGGGGCTTTTAAATTTTTATTTTGGTTTTTGAGGCAGGGTCTCATTGTGTAGCTCAGGCTGGCCTCAAACTTGCAGTGATCCAGCCTTAGCCTCCCACGTGCTGGGATTGCATGCACGCACCACCATGCCCAGCAATATTTGGGGACCTGGGGGGAAACTGTAAACAGATGTTTGAAGTATACCGCTTAAATAACTTGGCCTCTCATTGAAAGCACAGTGACCTTATTGAAAAAGCTACCTGAGCCTTGTATTTTCACATACTTTTATACATCCCTGAAAGAAAACAGTTTGATTTCAGTCTTGTGTTTAATAGATTTTTCACATCTGAAAAGAGAAAGAAAAATTTTACATTAGGAATTGATTGTAACAAATTCGAATACATCAGAATCTTGCCTCTACTGACCCCATGACCAGTTTGGGATCGTGTGATCAGTACACCATTTTAAGATTGAGAATCTGTTAACTCAGAAGCATCCTGGCTGTGTTTTCTGTCACAAGTAGAGACCCTATTTTGAATCACAGGAGGCGATCATACCGAAGAAGAAAGGATTCTTAGTAAGATCATGTATCTATTGTATGTCCCAGCACTGTGGTGTGTGGGCTAGGGGGGTCTCACACACCGTGTGGAGTTAATGTAGTAAAAGTGAGAAACTAGAAACTCACTGAACGTCACTCTTGCTTTTCTCCCTTCAATTCTCCTCAGGAGCAGCTTTCAGTGCTGGGCTGACGGGCGGAATCAGCACTTCCATAGCTGTCTTTTGTCACGAGCTGCCGCACGAATTAGGTAATTTTACCAGATTTCATCCAATCTAAGGCTTCATCACCTGTAAATACATCCAGATTTCCAAAATATTGAAACACAGAATGTCTGATGGCAAATATAAAGTGCATTAATTGCAAGCTATATTCTTTGTAAAATAGGAAAAAACATGCACTTTTAAAAATTGTAAAATGTGAATTCTCTGCACTTCTTCAGAAACACAGTTATGCTATTACGATGACAGAGCATATATTAAAACTGGGCCAACGAACATAGCTTTTTTTTTATTGGTACCTGTTAGACACATGTAATGATCACATTCATCACAGGGAATTACTACCTGCACGCAATATGTATCTTGAGTCTTCTTTTTTTTTCTATTCCCTTCTCCTCCCTTCAACCCCTTGTCTTCCTATTTACAAGAGCTTTGTTTCCATTTCCTCCTCCTTTTCGCCTTTGTTTCCTTTTCCCTTCCTTCCTTTCCCTCTCCCATCTCCCTGGTTCCCCTTCCCATTTGAACATTTTCTATTTCATGATACCCAGTATACATTTTAGTCCTTATCCACACTTTCAGTTTCTTACACCAGAGAAACAGTGTGATATTTACACATGTGTGTCTGAGTTATTTCACTTCAGGGTATGGCCTCAAGGTATATCCATTTAGCTAGAAATGGCTTAAGTTTATCTTTCTTTATGACTGAGCAGTACTCCATTGTATATTAAAAAAAAACCATATCTTCTTTATCCATTCATCATTTGATGGGCATTTGTACTATCTCCAAGATTTAGCTACTACAGGCTGTGCCACTATAAATGTGGGTGTGCATATATTGCTGTGGTATGATGCTTTTAATTCTTTTGGGAAGATACCAAGAGAGGACTAACTGGGTCTAATGGAATCTCTAGTTTCAGATTTTTGAGGAATATGCATGCTAATTTCCACAGTGGTTGCAGCAGTCTCCACTCCCACAAACAGTGGAAAAGGGTTCCTTTTTCTGTGCAGCCCTGCCAGTATTTGTGATTGGTTGATTTCTTGATAGTAGCCATTCTTTCTGGAGTGAGATGGAATCTCAGCGTTGTTTTAATTTGCATCTCTCGAATGACCAGTGATGAGTATTTTTTCATATATTTATTTGCCATTTCTACTATTCATTTCAGATGCTCATTTTTTGAATGGGTCTTTAAATTTGGAGGCATCTGATTTTTTTTGAGTTCTTTATATGTTCTAGATATTAGTCCTTTGTCTGAGGAACAGTTGGCAAACATTTTCTCCCACATTGTGGGCTGTATCTTCACTGTTTTGGTGGTTTCTTATGCTATGCAAAAGCTTTTTACAAAGGTGAGATCCCTGTAAATTCTTTGTAATATTTCCTGTGCAATTGGTGCTTTGTTCATAAAGTCTTTGCGTAGACCAGGGTCTTCAAGAGTTCTACCTCCTTTCTCTTCCAGTAGATTTTAGCGTTTTAATATTTAGATCTTTGATCCAGTTCAATTTTAGTTTAGTGAATGGTGAAAGATACGAGTCTAGTTTTAATCTTTGGCATGTGGAAAGCCAGTTTTTCTAGCACCATTTATTAAAGAGGCTATCTATCTTCTGGTGAAGGTTTTTGGAAGCTTTGTCAAAGCTAAGGTGGCTGAGTGTATTTGGAGTTGTTTCTGCATCTCCTAATCTGGTTCATTGATCCTTGGGTGTGTTATTTTGCCAGTACCATGTGGTTTTGATCACAGTAGTTTTGTATATAATTTGAAGTCAGGAATTGTGATGCCCCCTGCCTTGCTTTTGCTGCCTGCGATTGTTTTTGCTATTCTAGGTCTCTTCTGGTTCCAAATGAATTTTAGAATAGTTTTCCCTAATTTAGTGAGATGTGCTATTGGAATTTTGATTGGAATTGCATTAAATTTGTGTAACACTTCTGGAAGTATGACCATTTTCACTATATTGGTTCTTCTTACCCAAGAATAAGGGATATCTTTGTTTTTTCTGATACCTTCTTTGATTTCTTTTTCCAGAGTACTGTAGCTTTCAATGTAAATGTCTTTTACTTCCTTTGTTAGATTCATTCGTAGGTATTATTGTCGGTTCACTCTTTTCTCCCCTCTGTTTAGTTACTTGCCTTGCCTAGTAGATTCATCCTGTTGGGGTTCATGGAGTTGTCCTAATTATCTCTTTCTAGAATGTCCTTCAGAACATTTATTTTGGAGTGCTGGTTGTGAATTTCTTCAGGTGTTCTTTGACATGGAAGTACCTTATTTGTCCATCAATTCTGAAACATAGTTTTGCAGGGTACATCATTCTGGGATGGAGGTTGTTTATTTTAGGGCTGGAAATATGTCACTCCACAGTCTCCTCCTTGTCTTAAAGGTTTGTGTTGAGAACCCTGCTGTGATTTTGATGAGCTTTTCTTCATATGAGATTTGTTTCTTTTCTCTTAACAGCTTGAATATTCTGTTCTTATGTTGAATTTCTGGAATTTATATGCTTTGTCGTAGTTTTTTTTGATCATGGCTAATTGAAATTCTATATGGGCCTCACTTATCTGTATGTCAAATTCTTTTTCACTGTTTGCTAGGTTATCTCCCCTTATCTACCAAGTTTTTATGTCTTTTGCACCATCTCCTGCTTTTTAATCAAGTCCAGTCAATCTCATGTTATTCTTCTTTGCATCATCCTAGCAGCTATAGGATTGATTTTTTCATGTTCCATTGCTATTTTAAGAAATCTTTCTTTTTGTGATCACTAACTGCAGTCCTGTCTTTTATATCTGATATTCTGACCTCACATTGGCTCATTCTTCTGCATATACTTTCAGTGGAATTTTTAATCTCCTGGATATCTTTTTGAATCTGTTTTATGGATTCCATTTCATTCCTGTGTTGAATGTTATGGATTCCATTTTCTCAAGCTTCTGTATTTTTTTGGTATCTGCTCTAGAGGCTCTGTGTCCTTCATTATGGTTACCATCTCTGCAGTTGTCTGAGAAATTATTTCTGATGTGATTATTTTTCTAGAGCTTCATTCTTGTTTTGTTACTTCCACTGTTACCACTTCAGAGAGTCCAGGTGGGTGGCTTTTGAATTGTCCCATCTCATTGCCCCTGGCTTTGCTTTGTTTTTGGTGAGCTGTAAGTCTGGGCTTGCATCTTGCTTAAAAGTGTCTTCCTTTTTTTTTTTTTAAGTTTAATCCCTGGGTTGATGTTTATAAATTGCTTGTGGCAGGTAGCTTTAGTCCTGGTATTTAGGACCCTTAGGAAATTACTACATCTCAGAAATGTCTTTGAGGTATAGCTGGCTTTTAGGTTTTGAGTCTGTTGCAAGATACTGCCTCTTCAATTTATTGGGGGTGAGAAATTACTGCCAGTTTTGCTTAGCCCCTGGTTCTTCGGCATTGGCCTGTAGTATTGCTTATGATCTGTAGGCAATCTCAGTCTTGGTATACCAGGAAGAACAACTGATTAAAACAGTTATGGCACCTTGGCTAAAGTAATATACTCGGCAATAACAATAGCATAAAACAACCTAGAAAGTGACAAACTGGTAACTATTAATTTGCCACCTTTAACAATATGAATTTGGAGTTGTTTCTGTGTCTCCTAATCTGGTTCATTGATCCTTGGGTCTGTTATTTTGCCAGTACCATGTGGTTTTGATCACAGTAGTTTTGTATATAATTTGAAGTCAGGAATTGTGATGCCCCCTGCCTTGCTTTTGCTGCCTGCAATTGTTTTTGCTATTCTGTTTGTTGTTAGGTAACAAAATCTGTTTGGTGTTACGTAACAAAATCTAAAACCAGAAAATTGTGTACAGTAAATATGCCCTCAATATGGCAGTTTTACTCTGAGGGGAGAAAATTTAAAAGCTGTTAGGGTGAAAATAAAGAAATAGAAGAAGAAGAGATTAGAAGCAAGGCTGGAGGACAGGTGAGATTGTGCACACTGAGACACTGGTAAAAAAGACAGAGAAAAAGAAGAAAGAAATAAAAACAAGAACAGAACAACAAGAAAACTAGAAATAATGTTCACACATAAAAACGAGAAAAAATAGTCAAGAGAAAAGAAAACAAAAGAAAAAAAAAAGGGGGGCTGCGGATTTAGCTCAGTGGCACAGCGCCTGCCTGGCAAGTGCAAGGTTGTGAGTTCGATTCCCAGTGCCGGAAAAAAACCAAAAAAACCGAAACAAAACGAAAGAAAAAAAAGAAAATGTGTTTTTAAAAGTCCACCACAGGGCTTGTCTCTGATCACTGGTAGACAGTGTTGATTGATTCCAGCAGGCCACCCATGGCCTTGTGATGGAGTAGTTGGATAACGCCAGGAAGCCTGCACCTTTAGTTCCACTGAAGTTCAGTTCTGGCCTTGAGGCTAGAACCTGACTGTTTAGCCTACAGTAGTCCTTGAGCCTCCCACCACCTTGAGCTGGGTTCCCTGACCTCCTGCTGACTTTCTCAGCCTGATGCTGGGAGCCGCTAGATGGAGCTACCCACAGTTGCTCAGTGCCGAGCTCAGTTGCCCCTCTGCAAGACTGCTACTGGCTAAACAGCTCCTCCTGGGGGACTCCTGAAGCGGAATACCTCACCAGCCCCTGCAGTCCCTTGCATCCACTGCTCCATTCCACGGCTCTGCTTCCCCGTGGAGGCCTCTGAGGTCTCCAGTGTTCAGTGTGCACCTGCAGGTTCAACCCACCTTTCTCATGGAGTGAATCAGGGATCAGAGAGAAAGCACCGCCCGCAACCTCCTTCTGTGTTGAGCTCTTTCTCCACTCTCCCCATGGGCTTTCATTCTCACTTCAGATCCTTGCTGGGTCCCAGGGACCCACTTCCCTCCTGCTTCTCTTCCTCATATTGCTATATTCCAGCGTCCAGACCCCAAATCTCACAGAGGCTGTTTCTGTGCTGCTCACCACTCCGCCATCTTCCCAGAAGTCTGGACATACCTTTGTAGAAGAAGCATTATTTCTTGAATATCAGATTTTGCTGTCAACCTACTTTATTTCATATATCATGTAAACTGTATCTAAAAGAATCAAGGTGA